CCAGTACAGAAAAAAAACAACATGAGAACTTTTCTCTAATTGCTCCATTACAGCCAGAAAGCTCAAGTCCCTTCCATACATATAAAACTGACCTGCAAAAGAGGTAATCTGAATGCCTGTATGGGAAACTCTCTACCATCTGTGTTACTGAGACCGCAGTGTTTGCTTACTCAAAAAGAAGAGAACGTATGTTCTAATGGATATTCACAAGTTAGTAGGGGAAAAAAAAAAAATCAACAAGAATATTTTGGTCCTAAATATTTGGTAGTTAAAAGCCTTCCTGATAAATCTCAATAAGATAATGAATGACCTAGTATATCTGTTTTGAGCTTAATGATCAAAAGTGAAGAAACAATCACTGTGAGAACCTCAGACATTTTCTGAAGGGATAAGAGAACTGTTTAATGTAAAAGCAAAGAAGATACGAGTGCTAAATAATTAAAATCATCATATTTGCACTGAGGATGTCTAATGAGGAAAGGAATATCACTGTACCTAATTCTTGATTCCTTTATTGATCAACAAAGACTGGGTATTCAAGCTAAGACTAAGCTATTAAAGTAGTACTAAACCATTTTCAAATACCTTTAATGTTTTTTGGAGAAGGAAAGTTATAACCATCATTTGAATCTGATCTTACTCATATTTTCCCCCCAAAGCATACTAGTGCACCTCCACTGACTTATTCAGAATCAAAGCTTTGAAGATCTATTGTGCACATTATAAGGAAAAAGTTTTCTGCTCTGTTCAACTATTTTTGTTCTTCATTTATGCTAAACAGCATTCAGTAAGAAAAGAAAATCTGAAACACAAGGTGTAAAGGGAGAGGGATTCTTCTCCATCATAAGAGTTGTAGGCACATAACAAAGATATAAAACCAAGTTGTTAAAGATTCGGTTCAAAGATGAGAGGTTGGAAATCGGTGTTGCTAGTACTGATCTTTGCTGTGCCCCTAACCTGCTGCATGACATTGGTTAAGCCTTCAAGGCAGGGATAGTCTCTTCTGATGCATTTACATTACACCTAGTACATCAAGACTTCCAGGCTGTACTGTAATATAAATATACATCATCATAATTTTCTTTAATAGTAGTCTATAGACGTGCCTGCATTTTCAAAGCACTGAAGAAGGATTTACCCATGCAGCCCCCTCTGATTTCACTAGAAGACAATTTCCTCCTGACATACCTGTTTGTAGTTTGAGTGTGCGCACATTAAAAAAGAAGTTGGATAAAGTAGTCAAAGCTGTATAACCCAGCATCAGCAGCTATTATTCAAACAGACCACACCACACCACAGTCTTCCCAAATGGATTACACAAGCATGCAAGTGTCATCAGTGATGTGAAGCAAAGAATTACTCCAGGTTGCACATATCAGCTGTACTGGTTGCATAGGGGGCATTCAGAAGCAAGGCGGTACAACATCAGATGCAAGAAACTGAAGGAAGTAGGTCAAGACTTCACAGAGCTTATAGCTTACAGAAGCAGATCAAGAGTTCATTACTCTTCTTACAAGTCATCTTTATCAAAAATGCCAGTTCCTTCAGTGGCTTCAACAGAAAGCCTGAAAGTGAGAAGCTTTCTCTCACCACTAAAGCTGTTCAGTTACAAACTGAACAACTTACTTTCAAATGAAAGTGTAAGTCCACAAACTGTTTTGACTAAGGTCTGAATACTCCTGCTAACAGGTAGTTTTTCAAGCGCTTCACTCTATGCATGCTAACTAGGAATGATTTGGTTATTCACAACATGATTTGGTTATTCAGCTCTATACTTTCAGGAAAAACTAGGTACAAAAGAAAAAGCATCTGTGAGAGAGTGACCTGTAAGCTCAATAGCCCCTTCCACTATTCATGGATCTGTAAAGGCAAGCAAGCACCGCAGAAGTCTGTAATACTAACAGTCAAGTTATGCCCTAAGACTTCATCAATGTTTGTTGAGGCAAAATGATAGAAAACAACAAGTATAAGATTATTATTATAATAAAATACGATTAACAGGAACATTGGAAGAGGAGCCGGGAAAACAGCCTTGCTGTTCAGCATCACAACAAAGAATAACTTTTCCAGACAGTGATGGCTCAATAGATTACCAGTTGCAGCCTGCCTTTACTCATCTCACTTAGACTGTATTCTTTTGAACTGTAACCTCAGGAAAAATAAGTAAATTGTCCTGAGAGTGATCTAAAAAGTAAAGGCAACTCCACTGTGGAAAAAAAGAAAAATACCCTGAATCCAAATCCCTACACTTTTTCCATTTAAATGCTTTTGAAAGAAAATAATTCTGTGTCTCAAATACAGTTTTCTAAGAGTTCTCCCACTTCCCTGCTATATGAATTATGGAAGCAGGAAATAAATTTTTATTTATTTGTTTTAGATTCAAAGTATTCAAGATAAAGTCTTGCATCATCCTATTAACAATATCAGGGCTGCAATTTCGTTCTGGTAGATCAGCTCTAAAAAAAAAGAAAGAAAAAAAAGAAACAGACACCTCACTATCCAACCCTATAATGGGAAATGATGCTGTTCTTATCACAAAAGATTTGGTAATTTACTTGCATAGGTCAACAAAATGGAAGGAAGAGAAAGATCTTCATGTGGTGTGCCAGAATATAGCTGATTTCCCATCACTTGGCCTTGTAATTCTTCTGCAGCTGGTAAAAATAAACTAGTCTATATCTGGGCATGGACTTTTCAATACAGCCTAAAATGTTAAACTCAGTTTTCTTTTTGGATGTTATGTGGCTGTTAAGAGTATCATAAACTTTGAATTTTTGTAATTAATAAAACAAAGAAATACATGCCATGCAGCGATGCTGTGGGTAGCACTCTGTCAAGGAAGTCTGTGCTTCGGAAGCAGAGCCTGCTGACAGCTGTGCACTGATCCGGCAGTATAGAAACAGCCTCTGGATTACAGAAGATCATGTTTATTACATCTTAAGCTTTAAATTGTGTGATATGCTTGTTTCAGAAATTATAGAATACCTCATATATCACTGCTCTGTGGGGAAGGGAGTAAAGAGAGGAACAACCGTCCTTCCCTTCAACTTGGTATTTTAGTGACACAGCCTCTCTGCATGCCACTGTTGAGACTTGCAGGCACAATCAACTGAAGCAGGAGATTTACCTTCACCAGGCAGGAGACATCTTGAAGTAGTCTGTAATGCTACTGCCTCCTGTTGCCTCACTGGACATATGGAATATATCGTCTGCCGAGTTCGCACTTTCATTCTATCACCGTCTGTAGTCGTTGAACTAATGCATACTTCCTCATCTCCCTTTCTCATGGAATAATTAAAAGCAGAGGAAGGAGGCAGAGCACTAAGCAGTCAAGTTCAGTGACTAATGGCACCAGAGTGAAGAAACCTGATTAGCTTCATGACACTGCTACTGCCTTGCTATATCACCTCAGGCGAGGCACTTGACTCCTTCATGCCCTACCATTCTTACCTGTAAAAATGAGATAATAGCACTATCTTCCTCTGCAGGATGCTTTAAGATCCTTGAAGGAAAGGCAAAGGGTTGCATACATTCAATTGCTTTTTGGGATTCAGCATGGCAGGGCCCAAACTTTGCTTCAGATAGGTGCTTATGTGTTTAAGCTGTCAAACTTTTGAAGCTTTGGTGGCTGTTTCCTGAGTCTGCAGACAGCCTGAATCAAAATTCCTGAGGGCTAAACTTGAGATCTAACAATGTAAATTTCTAATGCCAGCTTTTCAACCACAGATTATATACATACTCATCTGATAGGCTTATCCTACCAAAGTCAAGTGTTTGTCTCATTAATCTTAACCTTATTGCCTCCAACCAAACTGCCAACATCTTCGTTCTCTCTCTGGCAATGCTGCCTTGGGGGCTCCACTGGGGAGGCAGAGCCAGTTCTCCACACACAGAGATGTGGGCAAGGAAAGATGGAACGATCACCTTCCAATTTCATCGCACAAAGCCAGGCTTGGATGCTGGATAGATACAGGCAGTCAGACTAGTCGGAGCAGCTTGACCTGTGGGGAGCATAAGATGTCTCTTCACATCACACCCTGCTCTTCCTGTATTTTTCTTTGCCAGAACAAAGTAGGTACAGACATTCCCATAGGAAATACATGTAAAATGAGATCAAAACTAAATGGGAAAGGTAAGGAACTACCAGTAAAGGAGACAGACTATTTCTCACTGCCTCATTAATCCTTTTGCTGCACCTGATTCTGCAGAAGACAACAAGGAATTTCTAAGTTTCTGCCAGCCTGATGAGAGCAACAAGGTTTTTCTTTTCCTACCCTCCTGGACTTTTATCTCGGGCTTTTCAGAGGCAAAGCTGAGTTGTGCCTCCCATTCCTCTTCAACACTCTATATCATTCTGGGACAGTGTGAGCTGTTGGGTTTGTCTCACGTGTCCTTATGACCCCATTTGTCAAGGCCATTTTGGTCTCTTACAGGACTGCCATTGCTGGGTCCACCTTCCTCTGCCCTGAAGTGAATGATGCTTTTAGGCATAATCGACAGACTGAACAAAAGGTCTGCACACCTCAGTAGTAACTTTCCATCAGCAAACCCTTCCCTCTATACAAAAAAAGTTCACCGAACTAGCACTTCTGACACATCATATGTGCAGAACAACTTTAGCAATAACAGACTATACCGCGGGACAGGAATACGCAACTTTAGTGTAAGGCAGCTGGGGTCAGAAAGCACGATACAGCCTGTTCCCAACACCCCTATCTTGCGTGCCCTTATTGCAACATGCAGCAGCCACCTCGGTTTGGAACCTTTTCACCCACAATTACACAGGAAACGGACATTAGCAGCAGGCACACGACACACTGTGACCTTCAGCTCCAGAAATGCTGGCGTTGCGTGTCCCGTGGCCCACTTCCTCAGTGGACAGGACCGCATGGCACAAACCACCATCGTAATGAGTGGCCTTATGCAGCCAGGGCAGAAGGCAGGCTGTCTTCCCTAGGACTATGCCCTTCCAGGTGAATGCAGGAAAAGCCAGAGCCGCAGCCGCCCACCCTGAGCTGTGTACTTTAGGGGAAAGGAGGACATTAGGCTGCAGAATTGTTAATGATCTTGTGTGCTCCAACTTTGCTGTTTCAAACAGTAAAATTACAGTAGTTAGGCTACAATACCATAACACCATTCTGTTTTACTGAGTGGGACACAAACCATATTCCTCTCCACATGGGACACCAATTTTATTGGCTCTAAAGATCCCCCAAAAGGTATAGATCAGCCTTCACGCTTTAGAGTTTACCCCCTTTACCCACTGCAATACTTTCTAGCCACATAGAAAAGCATAGGTGCGTGAACGCCTGCAATGCAATCGCAACATGAAAATCAGCACCACAACCCTGCTTTTTATTACCATTTTTTACATCTCCCCATTTTAATCCGCACTCAGAGACGGATCCCGTTCTCATCAAAGTACACAGCAAGCTCCCATTAAAATCTGGCTCTGCTAGTATTTTAATAACACTTAGACGTTCCCGTCCTTTGCATATTTCATCTGCGAAGTGCTTTACACACATGAATTTCCTAATTACAGGCGGACGATTTTCTAAAACTGGAAATTCCTCGCTAGCCCTCGCTTTCACTTTGAAGCTCCCGGATTCGCTCCTGTCCCTCGGCACTTTGGACGATCCCTCGACGCCGCCGGTCCGCGGCAGGGGCAGGGCACAGAGGAAGAGACACAGACGACGGCGACCCGCCTTGAAGTTTCCGCGCCGGCGAATTTCGGCGCGGAGTGCCGGGGCGGCGCTGCCCGCCGGGGCGTGAGCCGGGGGGGGCGCCCACGTGGTGGGAGAGGAAAAACCCGGCGGCGGCGGGAGCCGGCAGAGAGAGCGCGGGCGGCGGCGGGCGGGAGCCGCTGTGCCGGGCTCGGCACCGGGCAGGAAGGGGTGGAGCGGCCGGCGGAGCGGCCGGGCGGGGTGCCGCGGGCGGGGAGGCATCCCGGCCATGCTGGGGCCGGGCGGGCGGGCGGCGCCGCGCCTCCCCTGAGCGCTCCCCATGGAGCGGCTGCCCGGCCAGCCCTGAGTCGGCGGCCCCGGCCGCCCGCCCGCAGCTGCCCCCGATGGAGCCCGAGGAGCGGAAGATCTCAGTGTGGATCTGCCAGGAGGAGAAGCTGATCTCCGGGCTCTCCCGACGGACCACCTGCTCGGACGTGGTGCGGGTGCTGCTGGAGGACAGCCACCACCGGCGGCAGCGGCCGGCGCTGCCCGAGCCCGCCGGCGGGATGCTGTCGGGGCCGCCGCACTCCTACTGCATCGTGGAGAAGTGGCGCGGCTTCGAGCGGATCCTGCCCAACAAGACGAAGATCCTGCGGCTCTGGGTGGCGTGGGGGGACGAGCAGGAGAACGTGCGCTTCGTGCTGGTGCGCAGCGAGGCCTCGCTGCCCAACGCGGGGCCGCGCAGTGCCGAGGCACGGGTGGTGCTCAGCAAGGAGCGCCCCGGCCACGGCCTGGGGGCGGCCCGCGCCAGCCTGGCGCTCACGCAGGAGCGGCAGCGGCGGGTGGTGAGGAAAGCCTTCCGCAAGCTGGCCAAGATCAACAAGAAGCGGCAGCAGCCGCTGGCCCGGGAGGCCTCGTCGGCGGAGAGGATGGAGACGCTGGTGCACCTGGTGCTCTCGCAGGACCACACCATCCGGCAGCAGATCCAGCGGCTCCGCGAGCTGGACCGGGAGATCGACAGGTACGAGGCCAAAATCCACCTGGACCGCATGAAGCGGCACGGCGTCAACTACGTGCAGGACACCTACCTGCTAGGGGCCGGCGGCGGGGAGCCGGAGCCGGGCCGGGAGGCCCAGCCCGCCGCCGGCCGCCCCGAGGAAGACTACGCCAGGAAGTGCGAGGAGGTGCTGCAGCTGCAGGAGCAGCGGGCGCAGCAGGAGGAGCTGCTGGAGCACCTGGCCGCCGAGATCCAGGAGGAGCTCAACGAGCGCTGGATGAAGCGGCGGCGGGAGGAGCTGGAGCTGGCGGCGGGGCCCGGCCTAGCCGAGACGGACTGCGACACCACGGAGCTGAGCGGCGGCGGCGAGGGCGAGCTGCACCTGGAGCACGAACGGGTGAAGACCCAGCTCAGCACCAGCCTCTACATCGGCCTCAAGCTGAGCACGGACCTGGAGGCCGTCAAAACCGACCTGGACTACACGCAGCGGGCGTGGGAGGACAAGGAGCGGGAGCTGCAGCGGCTGCTGGAGACGCTGGGCACCCTGGACGTGGCGGAAGCGCCGGCGGAGCCGCGCGGGGCGGCGGGCGGGGGGCGGCCGGCGGCGGGGGGCGGCTGGCTGGAGCAGGCGCGGGGGCTGCGCAAGGACCGCGCCGACAACGACGAGGACTCGGACACGGGGCTGAGCTCCATGCACAGCCAGGACTCGGACTCGGTGCCCGTCTGCGAGTCCCTCGTCTAGCGCCCGGGGAGAGCGGGCAGGCTGCGGCCCGGCTCCGCAGCGGCCGCGGTGCCCCCCCCCCGCCGCCGGGCAGCGCGGCCCCACCGCGGGGCGGGCGGGAAGACGCCCGGTGCAGGAGGCAGTCACGCAGGGGAGACGTTTTACTTTTAGCTCCCGAGTTTAAACTTGTTCTAACTAGTCAGCGGCGAGCAGCGGTGAGGATGGCTCGCCGGTATTTTTATCTGAGGATGAGAAACCCGCAGCGTGGTGGTGTTGCGTTCACGCCTGGGATCGCTCGCTCCTTAAAGCCTGCCGCCTGCTTCCCTCCGACGGTTTTCTTGATGGGCCTTTTAAGCCTACGGTTTCCCACGCCATCCCCACTGCAGCACAGGCTACTCCAGATAATCTCTGTGCCAGTAAAACGCCACAGTATGCTCCCTGGAGGGGAAATCAGTTCTCTCCCAAACAGTTTCTCAGCCTTGCAAAGTCAGACAGTGGGTTATACTGGCTGTCATTTACAAATACACCAAGCTCCTTTACGGGAAAAGAGCCACCAAAACTAAAAGCTGCTGGTCCTTTTAACACTACGGAGGAAAAGAGATGTGGATGTTACTGAAACAGATACCAGGAGCTCCCAGGGCACAAGCTTTCAGAAGGTGCTGCAGTTCCTTTTGGCAACAAAAAGGGATGATAAATCACTTATTTTTTTAAAAAAAGAACAAAATACAGATTAACATGTTGTATTAACTCTGCTCAGCATAGTGCTTTTTCTTACGCATAGATAAGTGCTTTGTTTAAAGGCATACTAAGAAATCTGTTAGAATCAATGTTCATTTGACAGTCATTGAAAGTAATTAGCAGTACCTATACGTACACAGCCTTCAACTATGTTTTTTTCAGTAGGCTAGCTGGTATTTGGCTGAGCTTGGTTGTAGATAAACAAAGTCCAGAATCAGCCTGAGCTACTCTTTTTAATAATATAGTTCATATCAGGCCAAGAGATATAATGACAGAAGCATGACTCAAGCCCTACCTGCACTACAGCTTAATCTTTTCATCAGTTATTCCAATAAAAAAATAATACAGCATCAGCTGTAACATGCATTTCACTTAACTGCCAAATCTTCCTCTGCAGCTTAACTCCTACTGAAAATACATGATCTGCTCTTACAATAAGAGACATAAAGGATTCTTGTACTCCATAATAATTGCAGAAACAGTTTAAGCAGTAAGAGACCAGAGAATGTTGAGTCAGGTCTGACTGACAGTATGAACCTTTTAAAACTTCTGAGATTATTTATGTAAGGCTATTTATGAAAGTTTGCATTTAACAATAAGAATGTATAAAAAAAGGGTACACCAATAGACCAGTTCTTTATTTTTGATAAAGACCTCACAGCTTCCTCACCCAAAGACTGGGTTCTAATCTTTTGCAGTGTTCTTGCTGGTAGGAATGCTGTTGGACAACAGAAGACTAGACTCTGCAACTGGTCAGTTTGCAAGCAAGTGGAGAAATGCTGGTTGGGGATTTGAGGCTGTACAATTCCCTATATGCTATCATTCTTGATAAATGTTATTCCACTGAATAGGTCTCAGTTATAACAAACCGTGTTTTATTTTAAACACTGATTATATAATTGTTTTTCATATTTTGGTCAACCTTGGAAAATATTTAAGAACCTATTTTTAGAGCTAATAAAACTCTTAATAAGACTAAGTAAGTGTTCCCACTTGAATGTGATTTAAAAAAAAAAAAAACAACATACATATATATATATATATAAGGACTGGGATTGTGTTGTGTTACCTTATGGTGTCATTTACTCTACTGCAAAGCAAGTAGAATGATACACCAGGTCAGACCTCTCCCATTTATCTCATGACAGCAGTGTCCCCTCACTTCCTGACAGCACGAGGGGCTCCCTTGGGTACAAGTAACAGAGCATGCGTTCCTCAGATCTAGTTACTGCAGGGGGAGCATAGTGGCATTTAGAAGTGTTGGCATATGTCCAGAGTGAGGAACTTCACCCCGCTCTGCAATTGAAAAATATTTGTATGGAAGTAGAGCTGAAGAATAAGTTGGGGGGTGAGGGAATTCACATTGGTGCCCTGCATTATATTAACCAGTGTGGATATAATGGGTGGGTGATGCAAGTATCCGTTGATAGCTTCTCCAGTGACTGATGTAAGCAATAAACTTGAAATTGCTTTACGTAAGTTCTCCCATTAGCCACACCAAGCAAATAAAAAGCAAGCACGTTATAGAAATAAGCTGCAACAGGCCGTACATCATTATACTATTGATATAGGCGTCAGGTATTTTGTGAAGCATGAGGTGAAGGAAGCCAGGAAATTCAGAGCTGTAAAGTTTGCCTATTCATCCTCTGCTAGGAAAAGCCTTAAAACCAGGACAAAACCACTTTTGCTGTAGGTCACTGAGGGACACACTTGTAGGGCACCATGCAGTGCTGGATCTTGGCCTCTTGGTACCCCAGGCACGATGCAGTAGATCATGGCCCTGCCGAGCTGCTGGCCCCCGTCCCGTGAGGGCAGGGGTGAGAACACTGCAGGTGGCACTGTAGTCTCAAGGTTTTGGTGGGACCTGGGGTGACTTCCTAGGAGCACATACTTGAAGGTGTTTCCTATATTGTGCAGGTTAAATTTGGTATATTTATTTGATACTTAGTTGCAAGTGCAACTGCAATGGGCTCAGTTTTTGCTCCTGCACAGACTGAATTCAAACATCTTCATAAATCCCTCCCTTTCTCAAACTATTATTAAAACATTAGTGTACAAGAGGAAATCACTCTTTTTGTTGGCCCAGGTGCTTCTCTCTTCCCATCTTTTTCTTGACTTGTGTATCTTCACTTATCTAAGAGACAAGCCACAAAATGCTTGGCTTTGACAGGGAATTTGGCTTTGGGATTTGCCAGGCACATAGCCAAGGGTTAGGAGAGCTGATTCAGAAACACAGGTAGAGGGGCAGGATTTTAATTTCCTTTCCAGTTCTGAGAGAATGGAAGAGAGAGAGAGCAGCAGAAAAAAACCCCACCAACATCATGACAGAAGTCTATTTTCTGGCACTGCCAAGAGAAAGGCAAAAGCTCCAACTAACACCTGGTTTGGGTTTTTTTCTTTTGTTTTTTAAATACCATTCTCTTCTATCTTCCAGAGTCAAGTCCAGTCTAATCTTTCTCTCATCCTAAGACCAGATGGCAGATATAGAGCGCCATAAATTAAATAGAAAACTAAGAGCATTATGAACTATTTACAATAAATCTTTATTAGTACCACATTGCCCTGTTCATTCAACACCCTATCTGCTTCTCAAAGGAACCGTCTAGGACCAAGGCTGCCAGGCCTTTCTCAGACTCAATATCTACAGAAATCAAAGTTTTGTCTGGGAGACATAATCAGAGTAGAATCAGGCCTTAGTTTCAGTCACGCTTTAAACAAATATTATCAAGCACTACTACACAAGTCCTGTCTGTTTTTTGCCCCGGCCACATTTTTTCTGACCCTACATGGCACTTGCTTTTGTGTCTGTACAACAGTTTGTAGGACCAGACAGTGAAAGAGATCAGGAAAAAAATTTTATCTGTAATATAGGTGATGTGGCTCAATGTACAGTCACACAAATGCTTCTGCCAATGACAAGGTATGGTGGTAAAAATGAGAAATTGAAGGCACTTGGAAAGGTGAAGCTGATTCTTTCAGTAATGGGCACTGTCTTATACTGACTTGCATGTTGGCAAAAGCTTAGTTCAGACTGTAAATATCTTCCCAGTCACAATCTAAAGGGAAGGCTTCTAGTGGAAGACTAAGGCTGGACCTGAAGCTTCATTAACATCAATTACACTCACATATATTAAACCCAAAATGAATCAAGTCATCCATGTTTTAGCCCTGACCTTGTTTCAGAAACCCACTATCAAACAATATCAGAATGAAGACTGTGTCAAATTCAATATATTCCTAGTCCTTAACACATGTAAGAGATCTGCCAGTTTGAATAAGCACTTTGTAGGGATATCACTTGATGCATTAAACAGGCAGGGAAGGGGGGAGGCAAATACATTTACTGTAATGAACACCACTGACATGCAAAATGAATGACCTATTAATTATTGCCATTTATTCTAAAGCAGCATGTAGCCAGCCAAATCAGAGCCTGGTTGATTTACAGTGACAGATCTTTTTCCAGAGAACCTACAGTCTTGGTTTCAGACAAGATATAGTCAAAGGAGGAAAGCAAGTAAGTGGGTGCGAGAGAAGGAAAACATGTCATCAAGCTTTATTATTGACTGCTTGAATGAAACAGATTTTCCACGTTTACTTTAAAAATAGCCTGTGTGCCTATGTCTGGAGAGACATGCACAGACTTCCCTCCCTCCTAAATTCTACACTACTTTGGGCTTCCCTCCCCCCCACTTTCATTTGCACTGAGCTGGGACTGTAGCTCAATACATGAAAAGAGCAGCACAGGCCTTGAAATAAAATAACAGGTCTGGTGAGCTATGCTGGTTACAGAGTTGAAATACAAGCCATTGCGGATTGTTGGAAGCAGTTGTCCTTTGAAGTCACTTGATATTATTGCTCCTGAGCTGGCATAAAAAGTTTAAAGAAACGAACACTGCAAAGTGCAGGGAGTCTACACGGATGTTACCACTTTTATACAAACTCACATTGCTAAGTGAACTTGGAAACTTAACAGAAAGGGGAAATTTAATAAACTCAAAGCAAAATTTGGCTTTATATGCAAATTATCCAAATATCTTCAAGCAGAATTGTCAAATAGTATTTAAAAAAATACTGCTTGCATGATTTAATACATGACTTCTGTAAATGCATCAGAGCAGAACCTTCCATGAAAGGTGGATTGTCACACCCCTTCACACACTGAAAAGACCTAGAGTTGGCCAGTGATTTCTCAGGGTGTACAGTACTAACTCTACCAGGGCATTAGAATATACATTTAAAATACAACTTCTGCAGGCTTTATACGTTACCTCCATATCAGTTCGTCTACATTTTAAGCTTTATTTGAGAATTTTTATTAAAATCCCTTTCCCTCAATTTTGAAAATGTTCCAGAAACCCATTGAAGTTCCATG